AAGTGTTTTGCAATCAAACCTCGAGGTCTAGATCTTGAGGTCAAAAGTCATTGATTCATTCAGAAAGGTCTTATCATAGGTAATACAATTGTTAAAAAAAAAAAGAAAAAAGAAAAAAAAGACGAAAGCCCTTATCTTCTGGTGCAAAAGTTACGACCAAAGTTAAAATTTTTGCAAAGTGGGTCAAACTTCAAGGTCATTAGATCAGAAATCCAAAAACATTCGGAAAGGGCTCATCATAGTTAATGCACATGGAAAATATATAAGCCGGTGCAAAAGCTACGTTTGAAATGAAGGTAAAACTTCAAGGTCAAGATCATAAATCATAGTACATCCGGAAAGGTCTTGCCATGGATAATGCGTGTGTAAAATATGAAAGCCCTTTTTTCATGTGCTAAAGCCACGGCCAAGGTTAAGTTTGAAAATTAGTTCAAACTTCAAAGTCGTGAAGTCAAAAGTCATAAAACAATCGGAGATGTTTTGTCACAGGTAATCGTACATCTTAAATATGAAAGCCATATAAAGTTAAAAAATTTACGATGGTTATAATTGTCCCAATGAGCTTCCAATGTCGGAAAACATCTTACGTTATAAGCTAAATTTGTGTGAAAAATAACGTTTTTATCTTTCAGACCACATCTACGTCACTTTTATGATACGGTATCTGTGACATTTTTCAAATGACCTTGGTTTGATAAATATTATATACATGTAGTCTGCTACTGAAATATCGCAATGCATGGGTATTGAACTTCTAAAAGTTTTCAACGCGTTTTATGCCCAAGTATTGGAACAGTTTTAGTCTGTCCGTCTGATTGTCTGTTTGTTAATCTGTTTGTCTCTTTGTCCACAAAAACTTTAACCCTGCCCATAACTTTGAATGGTTGGTGCTAGGGCTTTTTATACTTCACATGTGTATTCCTTTCCTTGGTACGTAGGAGTTTGACCTACTTTTGCAAAATGTTTACCAAACTTTAACCTTGGTTATAACTTTTAAATGATATGTGCTAGAGCTTTTGTATTTTACGTGTATTTCATGTAACCAGACCTTTCTTGGATACCAACATTTTTTACCTTTTGGCATTGACCTTTAGGTTAGATGTACTTTTGAAAAGCATTAAACTTGGACATAACTTTTGAACGGTGGGTGCAAGAGCTATCATAATCACATGTGTATTTCTTGTGGCAAGACCTGTCTTTGGAAACCAACATTTTTTGACCTCATGACTTTGATCTTGGAGTTTGACTTTCATTTGAAAAAAAACATTAACCTTGTCTATAACTTTTGAAAAGTTCTTGCAAGGGATTTCTTATTTCACTCATAAATTCCTTGTGTCAAGACCTATCCTTTGGTATCAATATTTTAGACCTCATGACCTTGACCTCGGAGTATGATCTATTTTTGAACACCTTTAACCTTGGCCATATTGTCTAAATGGTTGGTGCTATGGCTTTCATATTTCGTATTTGTATTCCTTGTCACAAGACCTTTCTTTTGGTACGAAAACTTTTGAAATCTTGACCTTGGAGTTTGACCTACAATTGAAAAAAAACATTAACCTTGGCCTTGAGGTGCCATACGGGGACATCAGTGTTTCAGAAACACAACTTGTTTGTTTTTGTACATGTCATTCAACAAGAAGCTTCTTTCATTTCATTATTTAGCTTCTGAATTTTCAGGAAGAGTGTATTAAGAAGGTATAGTCAGGCCAAAAGAACTGTTAACTTTCGGTTTTTGTATCAACGTGTAAAAAGTAAGCTGAAATATTATCCGAAAAATTCTACCTGGTCTGATTAAGGTAAACTCTGATCGATAGAAAACGTGATAAATTCTTAGGGCTTTAACATATATATAAGTAGAAAGCCGTGGTGAATTGATACAGCTATTTTTTCTCTGGCATTACAGATCTTTGTGATGACACTCAAAGCGTGATCTTTAGTCAGACAGATTAAGGTATGTCTTACATGTTAACACTAAGGTCTCCTAAATACAAGTCTATACAAACATATCATAGTCCCCAGCTCGATCTATCGGCCTCCTTATCGGTTAGGAAACACCGTGAATTAATTTACAACGTCTTCACATCGATTGACAACTTCACTGGGGTAAGTAGACAACGCTAATGTGATTTAGGGCTTCATCAGGAGACAGAAATTTCTCTCAGATGAAAACTAGATATTTAATTCATATTTCTTATGACTAGAAAAAAATTCTGCCCGGTAGAAATTACTTCGTATTGCATTATGCTCTTAAAACACTATAAGAAAAAGTATTACCCCTTTCATTCGGCGACAATTAACACAAAAGTATTTTTCCATTTCGGAAAATTTAGTGAAATAAGTAAAAGAGAATTTCTGTCGTACAAAGCAGTTTTATGTATCACATTTCAATGTATAAAAAAATCATTGTTTATCTAACCGTTTACCTACGTGCTTCATGGCTTATTTTCCATAAACAATTTCATGTTTTGTTGAGGATTCAAGTAATGGTTGAATATGCATGCTAGGCAATTGAGAATGAAAAGCAAATCTACGACGGGGTAATAATAAAGAATTCAGACAATTACAATTGATATAAAAAAAATTGGCATCAGGAAAAAAATCTTTAGAACTAATTGCAAAAGACTGGAAAAAATAAACAATTTCTTAAATGTTAGTTTTAACTACAAACGCAACAAATTCCTTAAACTAAAATTTATCTGGCATTTAACTTGTCGTCTATGGATCGTATGTAGAGTGTCCTGTAGATCTGCATCATGTGACATGAGATTTGTTTTTATTAGTGTAAGTCAATTTATATTTGATTTTTATTGCTGTTTGTTTTTGTGGTTCTCCCTTCACTTTCTGTTCAGTACAATGTTTTCTCTCTTGTACGGGCCGTACTCTTGTAGTTTCTCAATTCGTTAATTCTTTAGTCTTTATGAATGTTTTTACTAGTTATGACAGGTATGATGAAGACTTTCAGAATAAGGAGATGTAATACATTTCCAACTTTTAAATGGTTTAGATACTCACTTTCATTTCAAAATGGCTGCAATTACTGTCCAGAGAGTCAATTAAGGTTAAAGTTAATAGATCATCTTCCGGAAACGCAGTCTTATGTATTCAAGACGTTATCATCTGTTAGTTGAATTATTTTATATACCGTATATATAATTATAGTCATTACAAAGAGAGTAGTTTTCCAATTATTTCTGCAACTGTTTGCGGCGTTCATTTATTTCCAAATCTCCAAGAAATAACAGTTTATGAAGCACTGGAACTTGCTCATATATGAGATAAATGTAGAAATATATTGTAACAGGAAATAAACTATCACTTTGCTTACTGGGGTTAGGTAATGATTTAACTCGTATATACATGCTGATATCTGAAAATAGAGAAGACAGAAAAAAATAATTTGAAAATTATCACAGCTTCTGTAATAGAAGATAAAATTTCTCACAGAAACCAAACCAGTCAACTGATATATATACATGTATCAGATCGAAGGAACATTGATATTGTATTAAAAAAAAGAAGTTTGCTGATCGATATTTGACAATTTCGGTCTCTCTGTTGTACCTTTTTTGTCACATTTCCCTACACATTTGTCGACATATTTAAAATCGTTGAGGTCATTTCCATTACTTTGTCAAGAATCGTCCAGTCTGAAAAAGGGGAGTAATATTTTTAAACTGATAAAAACATCGTCCCCATAACAGAAAAAGTTAAATAGCTAGCGTTTTCAAAAATCAGTCTCTAAACAACAGGATCTGGGATAATAAACATTTTTTATAAAATCAATAAATCCCCCTCCCCTTTCTACATGTACCCTGACCGGATAAATTAAAAAAAAAAACTTGCCTGAAGTTTCTTTGAAGAGTATATTCCTGTAATATAAAGGTATCCACAGGTTTAGTTTGTAATACAGTTTTCAATAAGAATACTGTAAAATCACTTCTTTCGTGGTTCAAATATCTTGATTCCGTAGCTGAAAAGTTTCAGTTAGGTAGATTACAATTTTCACATTTAGTGAAGAACTTGAATTCGTAGGTCTCCACGAAAAAAAATACCCCCTTCCCCACCAAAATTAATAAAAAAAATTCACACTATACCGGAAAATGTTCGTTAGATTTCAGTGCTAAATATTAACACAGTTATATTTAGATTCAAGTTTATTTGAATATTTAACCCTTCGTTGTCCAGATTGGCATTGAGGAAAGGGGGGGGGGTCCAAAATTGAACAATCTTCTGGACGAACGAAAATAGCACATATTTTAGCTTTATGTATTTGATGTGCAATTAAACTTCTTTAAAATGATTTTTATACAAACAATACATACATTATATTTTTTAACATCTATGATTTACATTGAGGTATTCTAGTACACGTTTCAAAAAAAAAAAAAGTAAATTCTCCTCATAATCAAGGCTGCGACTTATCTATGTGCGTATCGTACAGATATTATAGTTTTTAAGCCGTGATAGACGAGTTACAAATGACCTAACACAGGGCTGCATAAAAGAAACACTTCTAGAATTATTACATGACTCGGATTTTTCAAGTATGTGTAAGCCAGGAATTTGAAGAATTACATTTACTTACTATGACCTACATATGAAAGTTACAGAGGTGAGCCGTACAGATGTAATTCTATAGTCTTACACATTCAAACAAGGAAAAACGTCATCTACTATCATATTTTAATTTTTTTTTATGTTTTAACAAAAAATGAGGAAGGTAAATATATGTTTCATGGGAAATTTATAATCCTGTCTTATATTTAAGTAATAAAAAACTGGAATGCTATGTAGTCTCTGATTCGGTGCGTCTTTTTGCATTATTTAAATTATCCGTTTTGATGTGATTAAAAATAGAAGTAAACCTTAGAAAACCTTTGTGGCAGACACGTCAAAATATTCATGCATATACTGCGATTGAGGTTTTTAATGTCGAAAAGATATTTGATTTGAAGAAGGAATTAGATCATTCACGAAAAAAGAACATTTAGCTTCTGGAATAATCAATCAATAAAATTCGACAACTGTGGTCTCTGAAGACAGGATAGAAACAATACGTTTGAATTATGCAAGACAATTTAATTTAGGATTAGGGAAGCGTCTGTGTATTTTTGCCAGTATAAATAAACAATGACAATTCGTTTTTATCAAATGACAAACCGTTTATAACGCACGATTTTGATACCATTAGTCAGTGTATAATGTATACCTGAAATCTCATTTTAAAATTGTTACACGTTGTGTTGCTTTTGACATCAGAATGACCTGGGCCGAAAAATGAAACTGTTCGTTTGATTAGATAAAGTGGGTGTATCGGTCAGCGGTGTATTCAGTATGCTAACAGTGGGATAAGTGGTGATTGTAATAGTAATTAACTTATACAAGAAGTGATTCCATGTGAACGCAGGACATAACTGTACACAAAAGGAACTTTATGACGAACACAGAGGGACTTCTTGGTTTTATTCCTTCACGATGACAATAAAACTTGGAATTTAATTCATTAGAATTCAGGTAGGTAAATAATCGTATAGATTCTTACAGATTGTTTTTTTTTACAGCGTTCTGTGAGAATGCTAAACATCGACATTAACTTTCATGTTATGTAAATAAATTTTATAGTTTATGACTGTCGCCACACAAGCGAGGTTAAGTGGGTTATAGAAGTAGGATTTATAAATAAAGCTACACTCTTAAACGCTGCTGCGTTTTAGAATGAACAAATTTATTTGGTTACATGGAAGCACTTTTTTTCTAGATCTAAATGTACATTCAGAACCCATGAAGTATGTTTTTGTAATGAGTGATTGTGTAAAACATATCTACTAACTATATCCCATTTTCCATATAACCCAAATGTTGTAACTGCAGATTTTCCATAGTTGGAAGAAATTGAGAAATTTTAAAAATGTTTAGTCAAGGTTTTATAGCTGTTTGTTTGCCTGTCCGTATTTCTTCACAGCAGTATTCATGAACTTGGGTCTTTATAGTTTCTTACACTATTGATAACCATTTTCAGCTTTCAACAAAGGTCAATCGAAATGATGTACTATTTAAGCAACATGATGTATATACAGTATTACATGTATACACAACAGGAACAAACACAGGTTAGCTTCACACATACAAGAACAGTCACGAATACACATTGCACAACTATATTAAGACGTTTACAATCATAAATTATAATGCACTGCACATATACAAGGTCTTTTAAAACACACACATGCTTACTTTTCACTGCCTTTTCGGACAAAAATACAGTACAGCTCTCCCCTTGATAGAAGAATATACTACAGACAAACTTAAGCAAGTTATCATTCACAAACAGAGTAGCCAAGGGTCTTAAGAGATAAATTAAAAGTAGAAAATGAAAGGGCGTAACAATTGCAAGCGAAAGTACTATAAAAACATTTCCAGACAAACCGACTTCACGTGTACAAAGTTTTGTAGGCATTATAAGGGTATAAACAGACATAACTTTACATATATCTGACAGAGTCTTAACAAAGACACTTAACAAGACCTAGATAGACGTGAATACAAGTATACACAGAACTTAACAGCTACAAAAGTATAAATAAAAAAAATCGTTAATGGAAATGATATATAGGACATTATGGCTATTTACGTAATTTTAGTATTATATAACCATAAAATAATATGACTATATTCAAATGAGTAATAGCACATGTTCAATAAGTGTTATATCTACGAAGGATAGTATCATTTTATTCACAATGAATGTTTCTATAATTTCTTATAGGTGGTATAACAAGACGAATAATAAGTGAAATCCTCTATTCAAACTACTGATATCACTTAACGGTATTTGCCTAACTCACAAGTAATATATGATGTCACCTATTTTTACATTTTCAATAATGAAATATTGTGATTTATTTATTGAATAAAAGTGATATCCTTTCACAGCGTGAAAGGATATCAAAATAATAAAAAGATTCTGTCACAGTGTGAAAGGATATCAAAGCAAATAAAAATGATTTCTGGCCTGTCATAAGATAGAAATTGTAGCTAAACCATCTTGACAGAAACTAAAACTGTAAATTTCCTCCCAAATATATTGCTAAAATCCATGTTACAATGTTTTCAATCTCACAATATTGCTAAGCTATGACGTCTCAACCGCCCAAAGGGCGTTATAGTAGATGATTTGATCACGTACCGACTTCATGTCATATCCCAATGAAACTCCAAAAACGCAATGATATTTTATTTCTTATATTTATATTTTACTTTTATTCGTGTTACAAGGAAAAATAGGCACTATTTAGACTTTGTTATGGAAATGCAACATAAGGTACCTACGACGTCGTGTGACGTCACAATCGGAACTTTCCTAATGGCTCGTGCAGTTTGCTTTCCATACACAAGAAAGTCTGATCATGTGACCAACTGCATGTCATTGACAATTGAAAATCAATTTAATTAGTATTGTCATATAAGGAAAGACATCTGCAAATGTAAATATACCTAGTTATCTGGTAATTTTTTGAGGTTCTTTGAAAGTTTTCGTCACAAGAAAGTTTTTCTGAGACACAAAAGATATGTATGCCTGACTTTGGACATAATTTTGGTATGTACTGTTAAATCACATGTAGTATTCCAGCAGACTCTTGAGACATTTTATTCATGAAATTAAGAGTTTGTTGAAATCTTTGTAATGTACTATCCTCGGAAATTGTCCGAGTGCATTTCTCTCTTTTGAAGTTTCCTTTTGCTAGTGAGGTCCATAGCAGACATGAATAGATGAGTAATTGCTGGTGGTTGTAAATGTTCACATTTCTAACTGACACAAATGCACGATGTGTGAAAGAACATATGTTGTGGTGTGCTGAAGTAAGATGTTCGGTCCTTTTCAAAGTCAGATTACTTGAAATACAAAACTAATTGTGTCTTAGAATGATCATCATTTCATGTCCCGAAGAAATATCTAGTATGTTCTTTCAGTGTCATCAAATTACGAGTTCAATGGCTCAATTAACAGTCCTTTACAGGAAGCTGCCACAAAATATTTTCTTTGTGTATACTCGCTTTGATCTGAGAAAAATACATATGGTTATTTCCGCTCTATGCTTTAAGAGCTAGGATCTTGCTCTAAGATGCACATTTGCGACAGAGATATAAAAATATTTGATATAATTATTTTTAGTATAAAATATCATATATATATATAGATAGATAGATAGATAGATAGATAGATAGATAGATACCATGATAATTGATTTCATTCCAGCAGATCTGTTCTATATTATTATGATTATTTTTGACCAAGATTTATTTTTTTAATAAGCATATCTCTGACTATATATTGAACTGATAAAGTTGATGTATAATTCAAAGTAACGGGAAATAGATGAAAAGATTTTAGAAATTGGCTTTTGTAAATTAAATAATACTTTATCATGTGAAATATAAATTTAACTAAAACAGTTTAATAATTTAAAAAAAAAGCATGCAACTTTAATGGTGCTAAAATAGAGGACGAATATCATTAAATATTTTTTAAATCCAGTGCCAAAAGTCGCAGTTGTTTGGAAGTAAAAAATTTTAATGTTTTGTTGGGTTCTATTAAAACAGCATTCAATGAACCTTCAGTTGCAACACTCACCTACATGCAAGATTGCTATCACTGACAAATGGATCTGAAATACAACCTTTTATCAAGGCCAAAAGCCGACGATATAAGCTGCTTATTTGTAAATTATTTCAACAAAAGAAAATTCGATAAAGTTAACACAAGTCCAGTTTTATTAAAAATTGCTGATAGCTACTGTCCCAATCTCAATTTCACAACACATGCTTGTTGTTCTAAGGAAAAGGAATGTTTTTGAAATTTGATTGTTACTTTTAGACCAACTTTGTGGCATCGATCTTGACTTATGGATTTTAATTTCAACAATATGAATTTACTTAGACTCTTTAACGTCTTCTATTCTTCATTGACAGAATGTTTTCTCTCCGTTCTGAGGAGGCTCTTTTCATTGGAACCAAAGGTTTAAATGAGCTTCTGATCACCCGGCCGTTCTCCGTAGTCCGTCTGTCCGGCTGTTAACTTTTTTTCATATTTTTGACAAATTTTCCCATATAACCGGATCAATTTCAACCAAATCTGCCCAAAACATCCTTGGTAACAAGTTTATTGATACAAAGGGTAATAAAGAATTACGTAGATTACAAGATCAATATGTACTCGTACCAGCTGACAAAGCAGGTGACAACATTGTCTTTGTTAGTAAGGCTCATAATTTCAATTGCATTTTAGAGGAACTTGGATTTAATTCTGCAAGTGGTAATCCAACTTATACTCATTGTTCCCTTTCTAAGGAGAAAATTCTTCGAAATCATATGTCAGTTTTAAATATTTTTCAATATTAACAACAATAAAATTGAATATGAATTACTATATCTATACTGGATTCCTAAACTTCACAAAAATTTTACAATGATACATGGTAGGTTCTAGTATATGATCTACCAAGCCTCTTTCTTTGCTCGTCACAAAAATATTAACAGCAGTGAAGGAGAAACTTCATGAAACTTCAGGAGTACTTTGCAATAACATATCCGAGAAGTGGTTTTGATTCTTAAAAAACTCCAAGGAACTTTAGAAAATTTGAAATCAAGATTTCACGAAAAATAGCATCAAAACGTAAAAATTTTCAACACTTGATACAATCATTCCCCACAACAACAGCTTTTTGACATCATAGACAACTGCTTTTTCAATAAAAATGGAGTTAGTAAATTTGTGTACCTTGTCAATGGTCATCTGTAAACTTAATTTGTTAAAACATTCTGATTCTACACACAAGTAGTCCGAGGTTGATATTAGAAATATGTTTGAGTTTCTCATTGACAATATCTTTGCAGTTTTTGAAGACCATATCTCCCAACAATCTCTCGTAAATGTTCCACCAAGCCTCTTCTTTTCCTCCTCACTAAAATATTAGCAGTACTGTAGTGAAGGAGAAACTTCAGGGTTACTGTACAACAATATATTGTGGTGTAAATCAGATGTGGATGCTTAAAAACTCCAAGGCACTTTTAGAAAATTTGAAATCAAAATTTTTTCACCAAAATCAATAATATTAAAACGTACTACTTTTCAACACTTCATACGAAGCAGAACTTACTCAAAAACTTCTACATGAAAGTTGAAGCCTCTTACCATGATCTTCAATTCAACAATGAGATAATTATATCGACGACGTTTTTTCAATTAACAATATTCATTCCTTGTTGATTCGATTGATTTTATTCTGTTTAACGTCCCATTCGAGAATTTTTCACTCAGAGACGTCACCATATACCTGTTAAAGGGCTTCAAAATTTAGATCTTTACTCAGCACTCAGGACCATTGACCAGTGAAGGTTCTTTATCGTGCCAACGCCTACCGTGACACGGTACCTCGCTTTTAAGGCCTCATCCGAAAGACCCGTGACCTTCACTTGTAGTGCCGGGCGCTTGGCGAAGGAACAGTCACTGCCTA